CCTAGCACCACGATGCTTGCAGTTGTTAAGTGCCGAAATATGCATCACTGCTGAGAAAATGGTGGTAGTGCACTTTTGAACTAAAACACACATCGGAGGTGCTTTAGCTCAAAAGTACACTGCCACCATTTTCTGGGGGCTGACACGCATTTCTCCACTTATATAACTGCAGATGACACTGCAGTTCACCACAGCTCGCGTGCGAAGCAAATTCAATTAACTGAGTCTGCTCAGAAGCAGCAGATCTCTGGCACACTGTGGAACAGAAAAGTATGTGTATAAATGCCCTAAGATTTCCACCCCCACAAATATTTTCAATACATTGTAAGTGATTAGAAAACGCTTTAACACCAACATAAACAGAGCCACAACTGACATTCACATCATAAGATGTGATATGGATCTTATATCAAATTCTGTACAACTATTTCTTTTCCTTGAATTTGTGGTTTACCAGCTGTTTAATCCCATTCTGCGGGGAAAGGGTCAGGAGTTATTAGGTCAAGACAGAAACAAAAAGTCATATGGCTTCTCCTACTACTCCATTTTTTTCACAATGCACCATTCAGAGGTCACCATAGCCATATGGAGACCAAAGGGATTCACTAGGTTCCTTGGACAGCATGGAAATTGTATGCAACTGCTTACCTTTAGTAAGAACATTTGCAACATTCCAAACTAATAAACAGGTATCCTAGTTTTCTCTGTTTAAAAATTGCAAATTCTCTGACTTAAAAAAACAAAACAAAATCCACGTTTTCCCAGGATTAAAATAAAATGCCACTACATGATATATATCAATTGAACACAATGCTTTATTGATATTTTTACAATTTTAAAGCAACTTGGAAGCCTGACAGTGCCTCAATCACTATAATAAAATAAATTGTAAATACCTGTAAGTTTTGGTGTTTGATTTGGGGGTTTTTATCATTGAAAAGTCAGAGATCCTCCTGTCCCCTTTGCTCACCAGGATGTGGGTCCAGCTGCAGCTGTCCCCCACCCTTGCCACTTTGTAGCACTGAGCAGCCCTGATATGCCATTGCCCCAGCCCTGCTGGTGCCCCTCACTCCCCACCCACAGCCCCCTGGCCCTGCCAATGCTCCTCACTCCCCACCCACAGCCCTCCACCCTGTTGGAGGGGGCCCCCCAGCAGCCCTAGGTTCCAGGGCCAGGGACCTGGGTCCACAACCCCCCCACCCCTCCTAGCAGTGCCTGAGCCCCAGGTGCCACAGCTGCTGTGGTCCAAATAGAGCATGAAGCCCCCTCCCCCATGGGCAGTACGGCTGGAGCACAGCCTGTGGGGGGGTAATCAATGCAGGCTGCCCGCTGCAGGCTTGGAGCATCCTGCCCTGCTCGCTCCTCTCAGGGGCCTCTGCAGCCCAGCAGGGGGACCTACCATGGCAGGGCAGAGTGGGGCAGGGTGAGGCAGGGAGGCTCGGTGCTGCTGCCGGGAGCCCCACATAGCCATGGTGAGGTACTTCCTGCCCACCTGGCAGCAGCTGAGGGCACAACTCCATGCTGCCACCCCCGCTGCTGCCAGGTGGACACAGGGCACCTCAGTACAGCAGCATAGGGCTCACTGAGCCTCCCCACCCTACTTTGCAATCCCCGCTGTGCCCCAGATGAGCTGCCCACAGTTCCATCCCACTCTCTGCTCTGGGCCCCAAGCACCACCCTGGCTGCACATTGCCCTCCGCCCCAGCCCTGCCCAATGGGAGGGGCCTCAATCTCCCTCTCACCCCAGACTTACCTGAGGGGAGCTGCTCTCCATGCTGCCTGGCTGCCATGTGCATGTGTTCACACATGTGCATGTGGCGCCCCTGCCTGATCATCCTATTGCTCCCCCCAACCCCTTGCAGGCTGCAACTCTGCCAGCTTGCAAGGGGAAACCTGCTGAGCACATGTTCTCCTTTAAAGGAAACATATGCATTTTTCTCTTTAAAATGAAAAAATCCACATTTTACCATGTTTTTCCATGGTGAACAGAAAACCCAGGTCCTCTCTAATAGACAAACCACAGAACAAGCAAACCACTACTGGATCATTTAGTCTAACACTATTGAAAATGTAGCTGTCAAAGGGAAGACAATATTAAACTAGTAACTACATATAAATCACAGGCCTAGATGGACAGTCAAGACTGATTTCAGTCTGAAGAATTTTGATGTTTGATGTTTTAGTGCCTACAATAAAAAAAAAAAAATCAGAACCAATATTTGATATATATAGTAACATAACATCTAAGAAGAATTTTCATATACTTGTATAGGTAGTAAAGGAAATTAGACTTTATGCATCCTTTAGGTTGGTGCTTTTTGCATTTGTTTTTTGACACAAACAGTATTTTGCAGAGACAAGGGCACAGCACTTTACTCAGTTGGTAATCTAAGGCTCTTTATTACTCCTCAGAACAAGATCATAAGGAATAATCTATATCTGACATTTTATTATTTATATTGTAGTAGCTCCCAGAGATCCCCAGTCCAGCTGGGCTTTCTTTCCCATAGCAGGCAATTGGATCATTCAGTTCTAGTAATTTGTGAACTATTATTTACACACCTTGACTGCTAAAGAGCCGTATTCTCATCTCCCCACCCTCCTATCTTGGAATTCACTCCAGCTTCCTTAGGTTTTTCTCCACCCCCACTAAGGTCCTAAATCCACAATTTACTCCCACTTAGTAACAGGATATACTTACCCCCACCCACAACAAATTTAATCGAGAGTCAGGTCTTTTATTTTTAATATTATTGAAGTTATACCTTAAACTAATATTCTGGTGTCAAATTTGGTTCCAAGAACAGTTTAAAAACTGGCATAATAATTATTTGTAATTCAAACATTTAATCATTGTGGACTCTTATGCTTGCACACAGGCTACCACAGACATGGTCAAGGCTGTCACACAGCCTAAGGATCTGACTGCACAGAACAACCTGGCAGATGCAAGGCTCTAGCACTAAAAATCATACATAACTAATCCTTGTTAGGTAGAAGTGACCAATAAGTTTCCATTATTCAAACGGAGAGAAAAAAAATGCAGAATGGAAATACATGTAAAAAGTGAAAGGTAAAGTAAAAGAAGGGGTTTGTTCCCTTTCACTACTATTAATGTTACAAAAATATATATATATTTTTTATTTTTTTAACCTGATGCTCACTCTGAGACTGGGCTTTTAAGGAAACTTTCTGTCCAGACCAACAGGGAGAGATGTCAAATCAAAAATACTACTAAAACACACAAACAAACAAACACCTTGCTTCTTGCATATTTTCTGGACCTTCAGGGCTACAACAGCACAACCCCTCCATCTAAAGTATCTTTTATATGGTCACAAGAGACAAACAACACAGCAACTAGTTCACAGACCAGCTAAAGTTGCTTATCCTAACTCATCTTTAATTAACAGTTGAGCATCACCAAAGTATAAGCTATGGGAACACCTTAGTCTGTACTTAAGATGGTGCTCCCTTGTACACCGTATTGAGTAAAAGTTATGCTAGTCTTTGAGGCTTTACAAAAAATCCAGCTCTCCCTATTCTCAGGTGCCTTATCACTTTCTCTCACCCTCCTCCCTTCCCATTGAAAATCACATCCTGATGGGTTTTGTGGCAGTGCGTTCCCTTTTCTGTACAGGGACAAGATACCTATTACCACAAATACCTTGTACAACCTTCCACAGTAGCAGGCGAGATGCGAGTCTACTACCTTCTCTGGGCCTGGCTCATTTAGACTGTAAGCTGTCTAGGGCAACGCCTATTCTTAAGGTCTTGTCCAGTAGTGCTAAGCAGTTATTGACACTTAGGGCCCAGGTTTACAAGCCGTCTCATACAGACAGCCCCTCACACCCCCGAGGAGCACACTGCATGCTGGCTTGCAGAATCAAGGCCTTCACAAAGCAGCTCCAAGCTGGGGTAGCCAGCTGGAGACGAGGGTGACCCTAAATCTCTTTGACCAGCATAATTTATGGACAAACTCTCCAGTTCAGGCAAGCAGCACTCAGAAAGGCAACTCTGTCAGACCTTGAACTTTTCCTTTTAAAGGAAGAGTGATTCATCTAATTACCCTGCCAAAGGAGGAGATAAAGTTAGCTCTGCCCAGATAGGTTATAGCTTGCACCTTGCCCTGCCTCTCCTCCCTACTCTCCACACCTTACACCCCCGCACCACCTCGCATGCACACACGTTTACACCACACATTCTACATAGATTTCATAGACATTAGGGCTGGACGGGACCTCATAACCTCATCAGGTCCAGCCCCCTGCCCAAAGGGGCAGGAAGTCAGCTAGAGTCAAAGGATGCATGTACATACACACCACAAACATGCACACCACACACATACTGCACACAGGTGTACACACACTGCATATGCCCTTACACCACAGCCACTGCATGTGTGCACTTGCACACCACACACGCCCTCACACCACTGGCACTGCAGACGTGCACACCGTACGATGTGCACGTACCACACAATGCACACACTGCACACATGCGCACCAAACACCCATGTGCATACATGATGTGTGCGCACATGACACATGCGCACACCACAAAATGCACACAGCCACAGCGCACACACGTGCATGCCACACACATGCGCACACCACACAATGTGCAGGCACACCACACACATGCACCACACCACACAACGCACGCACTGCACACCACACGATGCGCGTGCACACACAACACACGCATTGCACATGTGCACACACCACACAACGCAATGTGCAACACATGTGCATCACACACAAAGACACACACACGGAAAATGCAAACACACGTGCACACACGCATGATGCACACACGGAAGACATGCACTACAAGCATGTGCACACGCGCACCACACACACGTGCAGAGATGTGCACAGCGCAGAATCTCCAGATAAGCCTGAGGGAGGTGCAAAGGGGGGAAACAATCCGCGCCCACAAGTGAGAGGCCCCGGCCCCTCGGCCACCGCTAGCTCGTCCAAAGCCCCCCCCGCCCTTACCTGGTACCGAGCCCAAGTTGCCCCTCCTGTGCCTCCTGCTGAGCTCCTCCTCGTCTTCCTCCAGCCTCCAGGCTTCAGCCATGGGCGAGGGGCACGGCCGGGGCGCTCACGCGGCAGGCGCCCCCATGCCCCGAGAGCCCCCGGCCGGCCCGGCAGCACCTGCAGCCTCCCCGGCGGCTGCCTCCCCTTCCCCGGCCTGCTCGCTCCCGCCGCCGCTTGCCTCCCAAGTTGCAGCCCCGCCGGGCCCTTTCTCCCTGCTCCGGCGGGCAGCGGCGCAGGGCGCAGGGAAGAGGGAGTCCGAGAAGGTGGCGTTCGCCTCCCCGCCGCTCACCGCATTCCGGTGTCAACAGGAAACCCCGCTCCTGCCTCCACTACTACAGCAACAGCAGGCGAGGAAGGCACCCGGGGCAGGGCTGGGAGCGAGCTCCCTTCGCCCTCCCCCAGGCTCGGGCCGCTGGCAACTTTTATTCAGGAGAGGGGGAGCTGCAAGGATCTGAGATGAAGCACACAGTGGAGCGGGCTGGGCAGCCTCCCCGGGAAAAAGAAGGGCACATGGCTTCTGAGGAGAGGCTGAGGGAACTGGGCCTGTGGAGTCTGCGGGAGGGAGGGGGGGATCGGATAGCAGCCTTGACCTACCTGGAGGGGGCCCCAAAGACAATGGAGCTAGACTGTTCTCAGTGGTGGCACATGACAGAACAAGGAGCAATGGTCTCAAGTTGCAGCAAGGGAGGTTTAAGTTAGATTGGGAAAACTCTCACTGGAACAGGTTACCCAGAGAGGTGGGGGAAGCTCCATCCTTGGAGGGTTTTAAGACCCCGCTAGCCAAAGACATGGCTGAGGTGATCTCAGCGGCGATGTATAGGGGTGCACATACACCCCCTGAGAGCACTGGTGCACCCCTGACAGGCCACACCCCCACTTCGGCCATTGTGGGGGGAAGGAGCACTGGTGTCGCCCCACACCCCGCAAGCACCAGCTGGGGAGTAGGAGCACCAGGTATAGTGCCATGGCCGCTTCCCAGTCAGTGAGTTTTGCCATGAGGGAACCAGTCACCCATGAACAATTTACTTGGGGATGGTCCCGCTTTGAGCAGGGGGTTAGACTAGATCAGTGATTCTTAACCTTTTTTGCACTGGGACCCATTTGCCAAGACGGATGGCTTGGCCTGACGCACGCACCCCTGGCCCTGCCCATGCCCAACCCACAGTCCCCTGCCTCCCCAGACCAAGCTGGGGCCTCAGTTCCAATCTGCAGGCTCCTGCCAAAGTGGGCTCCCACCTGCCCCATCCTGCTTGGGCCGAAGCATAGTGGCTGTGGCAGCTCCGGCTCATGTGGGCAGCAGCAGAATGAGTCCTGGCACAGGCTGGAGGGAGGAGGGGAGGCTTGTGGCATACCTGCCCTGGGCTAGGGCTCCTGTGCCGTGTTAGGCAGCCTGGTCCTGTCCCGAGTAGCGTCTCCTGGCTGCCCTACCCCCGGAAGCATGTGCACGAGCCCTAGTGTTGCCAGCCCTACCACACAGCTCCCTCCGCAACCCCTTCCCTTATTTGCAACCTTTTGAAATATTCTTATGCCCCACTAATGGGTTGCAACCCACAGGTGGAGAAATGCTGGACTAGATGAGCTCCTGAGGTCCTTTTCAACCCTAATTTTCTATGATTCTATGACAAGCCAGCTGCAATTCTCCCTCACCAGTGGGGGAGATCTCTAAAAGCAACCTTAGAGAAGCCAAAATAAGGGGTGAACTGACCAAGGTTGCATCCAGCCCCAGCCTGGATGCTAGTGTCCTGTTCTGGGACAAGGCTGTTCATACAGTTAGGCTCAATTGCACGGAGCCCTGTGAGACCGGGGTAAGAAAAAGAGGCTGAAAATGAAACAGACCACCTCTGTTAAAAGGGTCTGTCATACTTTTATCTTAATACTTTTTACTAGGTGTTGAGACCTCTAGTGCACTTGTTTTAGTGTGAATAAAGTAAGTAGAGATTTTCTGTTTCCCAATCAGAAAATGTAACCAGTTAAAAAGTCATACTTGCTGCTCCAAGCTTTGAAAAAAAACACCACAGCATAAGGAATACAATCTGAGAAGTAGCACAGGAATATTACTATTCAGTATAACAAGTTACTCAGTTCCAACAGCCATTCACCTTACAGGAATAAAACCCCTTTCACAAGTCTTACAACACAAAAAAATCAGTCTCTTGTGTGTCTGTCCATAAGGTTGCCTCACAGACCTGTTTACTATCTCAGGAGCATATGCATTGCATGGACTGTGCTGAAATTCAATCAGGATTTGGTAGTGAAGGAAGCATTGTCTGTAGCATAGGCAACTGGTAGGGAGCACCATGTGCCCCCCCTGACAGGGCCAACGATGCCACTGGCAGCTTCTGCAGGTTCTCACCAGCACCACCCCTGCTGGCTCCCATGGGTGCCCACCCCCAGGCTCAGGAGGCACCAGTCGCCCGTGATTTGTAGGATCCCTGCTGTGGAAGTTTGAAGATGTGGAGAGAATGAGTAGAAAGAGAAAGTATAAGTTGTGGTAGTATTGGAGTGACAGGCATGGTGTTTGCTCAGACCTGAAGAAGAATGGACTGCATTAGAATGCTTGTCTAAGTCTAGTCCAACCCTGCAGTTGGTCCAGTAACAGATGCAGACAGAAGTGCAGCTGTCTGCTGTAACTCACAGCACTTTGCAGGAAGCACTGAGTGTTACAGTGCTCACCTGGACCCAACAAGCTTTCTCTGTTGGGTCCTGAGAGTTAGGAGATTCAGCTGCAGTTTGGAGCAGCTGTGAGTATGCAGCCGCTCTGCCCTAGCTCTCCCCACTGAGGCTCCAATACACCCACCCCACCTTCCAGGGCCAGCTGAAAAAAACCCCAAACCAAATTCCCCTCCACTCCCTTCCCTGCCCCCATTCTAAAGAGAGTGCCGGGAGCAGGGCTGGGCTGCATCAGCCCAGCCCTGCTCCTGGCACGCCCAGACAGACATTAATTAATGAAGGCACTCTGTTTTCGAGCATCGTCATCTGAACCTTCATGCAATGAGGGTACAGATTGTTGCGGGACTGGCTCTTTTAAAGCACTCTGCAGCTGTGCACTTGTGTTTGGTCATGGCTGTAACACACTTTCAGGGGCCAGATCAGGTGAAAATTGTCACTTCTGTCTGTGCCTACAAATATCCTTGTCCAAAGGATGTTAGTTGTTAAGAACATTGAATGCCACCCTGGAGAAGTAGATTTTATTTGTGCCACAGAGGTCCTGTGTGATGTTGGGGAGGTCACTTAAACCATGCTTTTTCCACAAGCAGTCACTGTGGTAGACTTGGGTTTTACTGAAGTATTTCTGTTTTAAATGTATTCATTTAAATGTTGTAATGATATGTGCCTCAGTTTCCCTAACTAGCATGGGGAAAGAAGGTGTTTAAGTGCCAGGTACTAAAGTTGCCTGAGGGTGGGACATGACAAAAAGCTGGAGGTCCATCAGAGAAGTGAATAAATAGCCTTGATGATACTTCAGTTTAAGTGATACCGAAGATACCAGGAGGGTCAGGGGCTGAAAGGCCAGAGTCTCAGAGTACAAAAAAAATAAGGTCTCCCTCCAATCTAGAAGCCACTCTTGGGCTGATTTCAGAGAAGATCAGACAAAGGCACTGTGACATTTGCTAACTGAGGAATATACCCAGTTAATGAATGCACAACTGAGACACCGAGATCTGATTTGTAGAAATGCTTAGCACTCACAGCCACACTGTCAATCAATTAAATCTGTCAACACAGGAGTGCTGCAAAATGTCATAACAGGTATTCAGCATCTCAAAACTAGTAAATACTTTTGACCTGTTTAAGTTCCCCTTAACATCACAGGGGTGTTGTGAAAATAAACGTTTTTAAAAAGTACTTGAATAGTATCATAGAAATGCCTATGAGGAAATTAATTTTCTTTAGAACAGGAAGTGAACAGCATGGAGTAAATAAGGCATGCAGCCATATATTGAATGAAGATAAAAGGCAATATTGAGTCAGTTGGATATTGAATAATATTGTTGTTCACGCAGTATGCACCCTCTATTCTGCGTCCTGAATAAGGCAGAATTACTGTGGAAAAGATCAAGCAACTTGATACATCATATTCTATAAACACA